CTGAGTTGGGTACTTTAAGAATTGCCATCTTTCTCAGATTCATTTGAGTTTCACTTTCCCATTCATCATCATTATTTTTCACACTCATCTTCAACCTAAAAAACCCTCCATCAAATATCTCCATACATTAAGTTCACTGATCCTGGCTGACTCTAAAGAATATTTTCACATATCCTATTGAGTTTTTAAGTTGCATCCAATAACTTATCCCTGGCTTGACACCAATTATGCTAAAGTCACCCATTTCTAGAACTAGAACCATCTGGGTCCATGCAATCTGCAAGACATGTTATACATAACCATATTTCCATATGACAAATATGAGTCAGTATATGAGAAAGTGGAAAGATATAATGATACAAACAAAGGATCGGAAAGGAGAAAATCCAATTACTCTTTCTCATCTCCACCCTCTCCCTCCTAATCCCTCCCCACCCCTCCCTAGTTTCAGTTGAGACATCCAACATGAAGCCTAAAGCTTAACTGTTGGTACATCCCTTAGGACACTTTTACATTAAGTTATTACTACCTACATCTGTAAAAGACTTAAAAGGTTCTTGATTACACTTAAAGTAGTACCTTGAAGGTAAGATCCTTGAACAGAAGCACACAATGAAGTACAAGAATCAGGAAACAAGCACCAATTCCCAATCTATAAACGTGGGAGGAATGCTAATTGCTAAGTGCTAACATTCTTTAGAGACAGATAACATTATAAGCAAAGACTGAAAGTCTGAAACTGGAGGCAGCCAAATGAAGGGAATGAAACCTTCCTCCATTAGCAATTTACAATTGACAATATTAAAAACTGTTAAAAATACCCTGAAGAGAGTTGCAGACACGAACAGTAACAAGAAAATGCTAGAAACCAAAATATGAATACAATCAACTATAAAAAGAACTGCTCGCTTCAATACTGGACGGAATAACTGTATGAGAATTAAAGAAAAAGGAAAGAATCAAACCTTCATACAGAGGAAAACCTGGTCCTGCCTCTGGAACTCAGCGAGAACAGCAAGGAGATCGGATTTCAGCAAGCGAGAAACATTGGACCGGATGAAACGATCGAGACGAACAGGATCGGAGCGGAACCGCTTGAGCTCCTTGGCCGCAATCAATCCCTCTTTGGTCATCTCCTTCTTCCGCCTCCATAACGACAAGCTCGGGCTCGATGCCGAACCGGAGGCGTAGCGAACCAGAGGAAGCCTCTCATGTTTGTGTTCTGCGAAAGAGTTATGGAAAAGCAAGGTAATCAGCGGCAGGTGGTAGATTTCTGAGGGTTTGGAGGAATTTCTGCGCAGAAGTTTTGAAGCGAGATGCAGCGTAGAAGGTAGTGCTCAGTTCCTCCGTTTCGATCTTCGATCTTCAGAACTCAGAAGTGGGAAAGTAGTATTTGTCCTTAATCCCTATTTTTTTTAAACAGAAAATGGCCAAAAAAGTTTTTTCTTTTAACAGAAGATTGTTTGCCCTTGAATCCTGAAAATTTAGGTGATAATCTTTAAAATAATGTTATTTTAATAAATTTTTATTAAAAAATTAAAATAAATTATTTTTAATTTATAATATTTTATT